GATACCAAGAATACAGATTCTTACCTAGAATTATATGTAGAAATACACAGTTCTTGATGAGTGTCTATATTTTTGACACTATGACATTTGATGGCCATTAAAATTTTCAATATATTATCTGTCTGGTATATTATCTACACAGTTGCTGTAATGGAATCCATGTGCAAATTGACCTCATTTTACTTTTACTCTGAAAGAAGGTGATGTGATAGTTTAAAGTGAAGGATGTAGATACATTTAATAAGGCTATCTGAGTTGTATTAATACAAGGTGTGTTCGAAAAGTTCGGTGATTGGTCTCATAATTAAAAAACCGCAGAGGTTAGGATCTTGCACTCACGCAGACGCAGTGAGAGAAATGTCATCTAGAGCCATTTTACGACAGATAAAAAGAAGCGCATGCTATGAGCAGTTTAACACGGTCAGTGTGAGAAAGATTGTCAGTGTGACATGGAGCAACGCATAAACATAAAGTTTTGCTTCAAGTTAGGCAAACGGCGACGGAGACACATGACATGTTACTGAAAGTTTATGGTCAGGAAATCTGCTCCATGACAACACCCGGTCGCACACAGCGATCCGTGTAACCCAATTCCTTGACAGGCGCCAGGTTCCAGTTTTGGATCACCCTCCATATTCTCCAGATCTGGCTCTCGTGGCTTCTTCCTGTTTCCCCGCCTCAGTTCTGAAAGGCCAACACTTTTCCGACATTACTGAGATCCAACAACGTGTGACAACGGTGCTTCGAGCCATACCGAAATAAGCATTTGCAGACAGTTTCCAACAATTGTACACCCGATGTCAAAAGTGTATTGTTGCTAATGGCGAATACTTTGAAGGCCAGTAAAGCTATTTTGCTTGTTTCTCTTGTTTCCTTTTTTTATGGTAAAATTCACTGAACTTTTTTAACACACCTTGTATAATATAACACTTTCCCTCCTGCACTGCTTATACACAAAAACTCCATGTATTGATTCTGATGCATCTTCAAAATCCATTAATATGACTTTTTAATAATAGTTTGTTAAAATATATATTTCATTTCTAAGATATTCTGAAGTGTTTAAAGCCACAAAAGTTACCCACTCCTGAGCAGCAGGATTTTGTAGGCCATCTTCAACAGGATCTGGTAGGCCATCATTTGTGAGTCATACTTTTTCAATGAAAAAATTTTTTTAACTGATCCTAACTGTCCCAGGATACTGTAAGATATTTATTGTCACAACACTTGAAATTCTTCCTGTTTAAGATATAAGATTTTTTATAGTTTAAAGTTTTTTAAAGTTTTGGATAAGAATTCAACTACCAGGAAATTTAATTAACTTAATAGAATAACATCGTTTTTCATTTAACAGATTTGTTAATGCTTTTTATTACAATTTGCCATTTTGCAATTTAAAAAATAGTGTATCAGTTGTGCAATGGGAAAAATTAAACTATTATTAATGTTAACAGCAATAGTGGGGCTATTACAGGTTTTCCCTGCATTTAAAATTAATCAAATAACTCTTTGCATATATAGCAGAGCACATACACATACATTTATCAAAAATAATAGTTTAGCAGTTTTATCAGAACTTTGGATCCCTTTTCCTCTTTCTAGTGATACTAATAAAATGAGATTTCAACTTATGAAAAGCTGATTTTTATAAGTTAAATTTAAATTTGGTAGAATAATAACGAAACTACAAATAAAATTGCTATTTCATTATATAATACAACAGTATGTTGTCTAAGTATATCTTAAATGTTTATCCTACTTTCAATCTCATCTCTATATTATGGATTACAAATTTCTAATAATAATATTTATAATAAAAATGAAAGTAACCAAAATAGTGGCTTACTGCCTTTTTAAGAGCTCAAAAAAATTAATTCTGTTCATTTTGACTTTCCAATTTCAAAATTTTAAATGAATATTTCTTTTTTACATTCTTTTTTTTTTTTAAGAACTTTGATTAGGTTAAATTTTTTAAATAGGAGGAAAGGATTCAAACAAAACATTTCAAAATCTTGAAGAATTTGTTTCATGCTTGCAACTTACTGCAATTCAAAATTAGGAATAATTTTTCTCCAGACTTTTTTTCTAATTTGTAACATCACTTTTTAAGTGCATTTATCATTCTTTTGAACTGATGGTCGTATTGAATCTGCTCAGATCACTTTATTAAAATGTGCATTAATGTCCTTAAATGAAAATTCAAATTAATAGCAACATATATTTTTAATTATGATAATGTAAATTCAAAAATTACATTGTTTATAGTCATTAATGAAAATATAATTTTAGTACCATTTCAGAGAGATTTTTCAATTGCCTTATTTTACAATTGCTCTAATGATAAAAATTTCTATATTTAGCAAACTGTAATCAGAATAAATTATTTTAATTAAAAAATTAACATTGCATTAACTCTTCTACCATAACAAGCTAACATAGCTCTTCTACCATAACACTAATGAATATGGTGGGTTGAGACTTTGTACATTAACATCATTAATTTCTTCAGTTCCGATCAGTACTTCATCACATTTAATTCCCTTTTTGTCTGATGTGCTATGTTTATATAGGATTCATTTTCACCACAACTTTCTGAATCATTCTCATTCAGTTGTTGCTTTTCCTGGTTTTTATACTCCATCTTAAGAAGAACAAAACCTAAACCATTTATAAACGTTTGAGACAGACAGGTGGAGTTAAGGACAGGGTTAAGTTTTTTCTAGAAGAAACAAGTTTTTTCCAAGACTTTGGAAAAACTGGATGAAATTAACAATGAAGAATTTGTAGGCTATTTGCAAAGGGGATAAATTTCTTAATAATAATTTAACTTACTTGCATCACTTCTCTAATGAAAGGCAAAATAATTAAACAATTCCCCTCTGAAAAAAGTCTATTGAAGAGTATGGTAATATTTTTATTCATTTATAGCATATATTACATTGTGCTGATTATGTGAATTCAGTTTTTTAGTAATTAATTCAATTTTATACTCTCTTCTTTCTGAATAACTTATAATTAAATAATCTTATTTATTTCTTTTGCTGTTAGCAACTGAAATTCATTTTCAAAATCCATCCCAACTCACAGATATGAAAGCAGATTGTTTAAACAAGCACAAAAACATATATGCACATGTACATATTCCAAAGAAAGTTGCTGCAGGCATGTAGAGGAAGCTCAATATGTAGGGAGGGGGAAAAATGAAAATATTTAAATTGATTTATAATATAATAATGTTATAAATGAATAAAGTATAACTAAATTGCTATTGAAAAGTATGACTAAATTGCCATATATGTTTTTGTGCTTGTTTAAACAATCTGTTTCATATTGAAAAGGCAAAAAATCAACCATAGAAGAAATTTGCTAAACCTGCTGAGAATACCTCATTTATAAAATTTTACTTTATCCTGTTGCTATTTGCAGTCTACAAAATCTTGTATGGTAAGAATGAACTGTGCAAAGCAGTTGAGGTTTAAGTTTAGCAAGATTAGTGCAAATTTTTTCTTTTGAATTTATTCACTCATAACCAAAATTTGAAAAAAAAAAAAAAAAAAAAATTATTGCATGTGATAGAAAAGAAATTTTCTGTTTGTCTGGAAACTTAATTTGCATTGTTTCACTTATCATTCTGTTGCCATTCGGAAAAACATAAAATATTGCTCTTTCGTATTTAATCTGTCTGTTATCAATTAACAAACTAAACTATTTAAAAGCAATAGATGTGGTTCTTAATATTATAATTTTTTACTTTTTTAGATTTTGTAATATATCTAATTAAAAACATTAAATGTTTTTATAGTATTATGTTACACATATATATATATATATATTTACTTTTTAAATATACTGAAGATATATAATATTACCATGTTAGTCTAAATGCACATTCATTTAATATCCCATTATATGTTTCAAAATTTGACCTAATTGATAAAATTCGACCTAATGCATACTGATAAATCATATTAAACTTTAATAGAGCTCTTTGAGAGGATCGTTAAATTCTGAACACTTTGATATATGTATATATATATCAGTTTTGTTTTCTGTTTTTCCTAAATAATTTTACTGATTTTGTTTGTTGATATGAACAGAAATTCATTTCAAAATTTCTGTAAATTCACAGAAGTGAAAAAAATCTCATCACTATTGCACAAAAATCATACATGTGCATACTAGTGAAAATTCTTAAATGGTATAGAAAATTAAAATATTTAAGGAATATATGTACTGGTATGTAAGTGAAGTGTAGGATAAGCATGCTATAAGTATGAAATAAATTCAAAAATTAGTGTTATTGAAAGACACCCAGTTTTTTGACACATTTCCTGGTCTTTCAGTAGATAGCCATAGCTCATGGTTCTTAATTTTAAGCTTTTACTAATGAAAGTTTTTTTCAACAATAACAATAACTTGTGCAAATTTTATTCCCCTTCAGCGGTCTTTTCTGATACATTTTTATTTGATCTGTATTGCCTTATTCTACTGTAGACATTTATAGACCTTTAATTTTAAATTCAACCAAATGTTTTATCAATAGACATTTTTATTGAGTTTTATTTCACATGAATGTATTTTAAATTACTAAGTAAATCCGCTTAATAGTGCGTACATTAATTAGTAATTTTATTTTTATCATATTTTAAAGTACTTAAATAATAAATAAATGCTTTCTTTCCTTACTTAGGTTTTTTTCAGCATAAAAATGTAAGAAAATTACATAATGAAACTAGCTGAAGAACTTGAAATTTAGAATTTGTAAATAAATATTAATATATTTTATGTCAGAATCATGTTATAAATTGTGGAATAACCTGAATCTTGCTATATAAAATGAATTTAAACCAGTTTTGAATCTTTTGAAATGGTCCTGTCATACAGCATGAAAATCTGCTGGGACCTTCTGGTTTTTGTTGTGAGAACTTCCCTATTTTCAAGGTGGCAAACTATGCCTTTCTGAAAAATGCATTGCTGATTTTTTTATCTCCTTTTTATAGAATGAAAATGAGGAGATCTGTTTTTGAAAAACTAGATGAAGAAGATGAAAAGGAAGCAGAAGTGGGAAAAAAAAGAATTAAAGAATGCCTTTCTGTTATGACTGATGAGGACAAACGAGCTGATATGCGAGAAAAAACCTTACTCCCAGTTATAATTATAGAAGGTGATTGTGGCAATGAATATCTTATGTATTACACTGTTGGAGCTGCTGCTTCTATGGATTATAAGTAATTTTTACTCATAATAATTTCCATGATCCATTAGTATAATTCAACTGTCTCAAACACAACCTTGGCTGGCATTCTCCCAAAACACATAGAATCACCCAAAAGGGGTGTTAATTAAGTGCAATGAGGGGAGAGGTGATGTAAAAGTCCTGTCTTTACTGGAGAGAGGAAATTTATATGACTAAAGGTGTCCCCATGTCATCGAGGAATCTTCTCATCAGAGTTTTTTTTTCCCCCCATCTTTGGTTCAAATTCACAGAAATAAATTATACGATTTGTGCTAGTTCATAGCTCAGAAACCAAGAATGTTGAAATTTTTTGTTCATAATTTATGAATTTTATAAGAACAATTCATATCTCATTGCTTACCTTTAAAGATAAGGTCACTAAAAATTGCGGAACAATAATTTTTTGTAGTGAAAAAAAAGGACACCAGTCAATAGGTTTTTTTTACTCCTATTGTGCAAGATAATTGAAAGAAACAGGGTAAAAAATCCCTACTACATGATTCATTTCCATCCAGCCCATTTTGAGAATAACTCGGTCCAAATAGCACACGTGTGTTTCTACTCATGGTTGTGGCTGAGACGGTCAAACTGTATTTATCTTTGAGAAAGTTTTTGGAATGTGTTCATTAATAAAATTAAAAAGAAATGTGTTTCTATTTAAATAAAATAAATAACAACTCTTTAGTCTTCATTTATACAGAACTTCAACTGTTTACTTCTCCAGAAGTAAAATGAAACTTTCTAATTTCTTGAAGAATTTAAAATACTTATTTCTTTTCGTTGTATTTGTGTACATAAGTTTTTTATACTGTATTGATTTTGACATTGCATTATTCGGTGTTTTTTGTATCTGTATCTGGTTGTAACAAAAGTTTTCTACCAAAAGTTGTTCTTAATAAAGTTAGAAAAGAAAACATGAAAGCAATATTTTTGGGGCGGGTGATAATCACCACCCAAATCTATGATTTTCTGCCAATGTTTTTGTAGTTTTTTCAAAGCTTTCAGCCCAGAAACTTGATGGCTGCGACTCCAAAAACAGATCAATTTAATTTTGTATATCCTGTGCAGAATGGAAGATAGCACCAGCAAGATATAGCTGCAGGTGTGAAGAAAGGTAGAAGTCCAAAGGAGCGATGTCTGAGCGATGTCTAGGCTATATGGTGGGTGTAGCGAAAGATCCCATTCGAGTCCATACAGAGTCCAGCTAGAGAATGCAGGCACATGTGGTCTTGCATTATTATGTTGGGACATTACCTTTTTGCGCCAGAGTTCAGTTCAACATTTTTCCTTGTTTAGTAGCTAACACATGGATTAGCATCTAGCTGTACACCTGTCACGGGGTTTACCTTTTTCCTGGTACTCTTTGTGGATGATACCACGGTAATATCACCAAATACAAAGCATGATCTTTTTCCAAGTCAAATTGCACTTTGCGACGCTGTCGACGGACTCACCGGATGCATACTAATTCCCTTTTCAACATGTTTTGTTGAAGTGAATCCACTCTTCATCACAAGTGACGATCCGGTCCAGAATTTTGAATTTTTTTTTAATGTCATAGTTCTTATTTTTGAACTTTTGGTGCCAAACCTTCACAGTGCCACATTAGTACCTAAAGCTGTATACATGATTTGGTGACATTCAGTAGCTGATGTTTTGCAACCGAACTGGAAGTAAATGATGGTTCTAATCTTGTAGCATGATAATTCCATTTCAGTCACCTTGTACTTAATGATAACGATAATTTTTTACAAATTTCACAACACAGTATTCTGAAGCAAGGCTCTTTGTTTCAAATGCCAAAAATCACTTGGCAAAATATAATTAAGCACACCAAAATGAACTGTTTGTGCAGGTGATATTTGATGTGGCTGAAAACTTTTGTTGAAACCTTATATCTTATTGCTGTGCTGTACTTTGCACTTACTCACCTAGTGATGGCTTATATTTCATATTCCGATTCAATCCAGAAATATTCTAGATAATTATTATTATAATGATCTTTTCTGACTTGGCTTTAAATTTTCAAGGCCTTTGAGCTTATTACACACCCACGTTCTTTCCTCACCTGGAAGTACCCTGTAAGAATTTCAGCTGCAGATCCATATAATGTGATGTGTACTTGAGGCTTTATATCATTGAGCTGAACTCATCACTGTGTAGTTTGTTCACAGTAATAGCTTAATAGATAGATAGATAGATAACTGTTTTATAGATATAAGGACTATGGAAAGTTCATTGCTCTGTTATTTTTAGAATGAAGAGAGAAGTTAAAGGGCTATTAATTTATTATTTGAAAGATAGATGCTTTATATTATATGTATATGAATTTTTTTTATAATTTTTAAAATTTTATATTTTTATATTTATTTTAAAAATAACTGTTAGTGTTTAGATGAACACATATACAAACACATTGGTCTATGATATTCAGCAAATTTGTAGTTTATAAACATTAATTCACAAACATTTGTGCACTGTATGTTAAGTCTACTGTTCTTCTTCTTCTTCTTTTTTTTTCTTTCTTTTCTTTATTTCTTGTTTTCGTTTTTGCCATATGAGTTATTATTTACAATTAACAAATACTATTATGGAAACATTTTATTTTTATTTGTCTCTCCACCACACACACACACACACCAAAACAAAAAAAAAAAAAAAAAAAAAAACTTTTATCATGGAGCATAGTATGCAACATGTACTAAAAATATGTTTCTTTAATTATAATAAACATGCAATTATTTCAATATTTTTAAAATTAAATGCATTTAATTTATCCAAATTATTTACTTTCCATTTTTAATAATGCAGATGCATTATTAAAAATGGAAAGATTTAAAATGATTAAAGAGTGTATTTATTGCTTTTAATTATTCATTTAGTTAATAACAGATTGTTTAAATTTGAGAGATAAATTAAAGATCTTATGCTAGCATCCTTGAACTTGTTATACCGCACATAAAATGTCTTTTACATAGCTAGTTCTGTCTGATTGTTTGTTAGAAATTCCATTTTACCATCATGATGCATTCACCAAATTCTAAGACATCATAAATTTTTTATTTGCTGGTTAATTCCATACAGTAAATCCTCCAGTTATATAAAAATTCCTATTGTAAATGCAAAATTTGAACAGATTTTTATGTACTGCTATGTGTTATTTTTGCCTGCATTTTTTTACTGTTGTTTCCATAATTGAGGTTGGAATCACCCTGTAAAAATTATTTAAAAACAGTTAATTAAGAAACAGAGGCATAACTAGGGTTTTCAGTGCCCAGGAACAACTGAAAATTGAGGTTGGAATCACCCTGTAAAAATTATTTAAAAACAGTTAATTAAGAAACAGAGGCATAACTAGGGTTTTCAGTGCCCAGGAACAACTGAAGATTTTGTGTGCCAAGAAAGGAAAACATTTCATTCTACAATTTTGTAACATTAAATTGGCACCCCTTGGATACTGCGCCCTTTCCTCACCCTTGTTATGCCACTGTTAATAAATAGTCTGGCATTCTTTCTGCTATAATATTTCATCTAATTTCTCATATGAGTAGTTCACTTAGTTTGCTATTAATACTATTATTCTTAGGGCTAAAAATTTTTAAATTAAACCTTCTGAGAAAAACATAATTATGACTTATTCTTTGTTTTTAGAACTGTTTCTTGCTGCACAATACCCTCTCATGCTGATGAACCTTTTTCTACTATAACTTGTCTTGCATTCCACATGCTTGATATGACTTTAAATGAGGGTATATTTGAGCGAGAGCAAATAATTCTTAACTTCTTACCAGGATGCAGCAATGCCCCTCTGTATCTCCTGAATCATTTATTTCATGTTCAGGTTTGTATAACATAGAATAATCAATTTATATTATTTTTTTCTTTTTTCTTTTTATAAAGAGCAGTAAAGGAGCTCATTGATTTTGGAGTATATAATTTTACACGTTTGATGTATTGCTTAAGCACACAAAATATATCCAGCTTGTTTATGTACATAATAAATAGTTAATTCTTTTCCTTATAAGGTGTTTTCTCCTTCCTTACATTGTGCCTTTGGGGTGTAAATGGGTAGCATGTCTGGCTAGCAATCAGGAGGTTCACAGTATTTGAATTCCAGCAAGGGAATTGTGCATTTTCATATCTCCTGCTTTAAAAAAAAAAAAAAAAAAAAAAGACTTTATAAGAGTGCTCAAACTAAAGGTCAGCATACTCGGAGTGTATCCTGAAGTTCAAGTCCCAGTGAGGGCATTGCTCATTTTTCATGTCTCTCAGCAAAAAGCCTAATGACTCTATGACTCTACAGTGGCACCCAAACTAAAAAAGGTGGGGGAGGAAGATTCTCCACCATCAGGATTTGGTAATTGGGTCCCCTAATCCCCAGTTGCCCTTTAAAAGGGGTATTATATAAGGTATTTCTCCTACCTTCTTAGCATGCCTTCATGGTGTAATGGTCAGCACAGTTGGCGCATACTTGAAAGGTCCAAGGTTCGAGTCTCAGCGAGGGCATTGCTCATTTTTCTTGTCTCCTGCTTCAAATAACCTAATGTCTCTATATCATTACCACCAGGATTTGGCAATGGTATCCTCTCTCCCAAATTTCCATTTAAAAGGGGGACTATAGAAGATATTTTCTCCCTCCTTATCATGTGCCTTCATGTTGTAAATGAGTAGCACATCCAGCCAGCAATGAGGAGGTCCCGGTTCAATATTTCCATCTCTCCTTCTTCAAAAAAACCTAATCACTGTACATCCTAATAGATGTGTATCATACTTGGGTTCAACTAAATACATAGTACTGTAAAAGCACATTTCACCTGATTAATTTTTGCTTTTAAATAATGTAGCAAAAATTTGTTACCTTTTCTTATTTATTAAACAACTTTTGGCATTGGTGTCATTAAAATTTGTATGCCTATCTGCTGTTTCTAACCCTCCCTTTTTTTTCGTATATTGCAATGAATAGGCAAATTCTCAATGCACTTTTTGCTCTCAGGAAGCAAAATAAATACATCTATTCTCCACTTGATTCTGCATGCAAGTTATCGGAACAGAAAATTTCTATCACCATATGTAAGTTATAATCAGCCCTGACAAAAAACTCTAATTTTCCTTTTGGGCTTTGAGAAGGAGGCTATCGGGGTTAAAAGCTTAAAATTTGAACATGGCAGAACAAAATGAAATGAAAATTAAAGAATTCCTCTTTAAGGAACTGAAGTGCATTTTTTTTTCATTTCATATTTTCATTTTTCATTTCATATCCCAAAATTCTTTCTTGACATATACATATCACCTGTCTAGATATGCAAATATGCCTTTGCTCCTGCCGATGAATCTAAGAACATAAACTTCGAAAAACTTGTTGAGAAAGATAAATTCTAAATATAAAAAAAAAGTTATTGTTTACATCTTCTGTCCATAAATTTTGTGGTGATTCATGTAAAAACTGATTTTATGATATTTAGTTACATTTGAAATAGGCCTCTCTACTATTAATATGCTTTTACTCGTCGTATAGTTTGAAAACAGTGCTGCAAACCTGTTTTTGATAGATTATTCATTATTTTGTTTGATTTTTTTCATGTTCCCACTTAATGTGCTATTTTGATTTATGCAAATAGAAAACAGTCTAGGAGAATGTTTGGGTATAATGATTGAATTGTGAACCACTAATGAATACTTAAGTAGTGTAAAATGTCACATTTTCATAGCAGAGCACAATTTTAGCCTGTGCAAATTGAATTAGTGGTGTTCCAGAGTTAACTCCCAGAGTAAGTCATTTCCCTTAGTACATTATAGTGTTTGTGCTGCCTTTTCTAGAAACCTATATGTGACCTTATAATCTGAACTTTAATTTTCCTTTCATATCTTCTGTTACTTGTCATTCTAAAAAACGAAGCCATCTCAAATCAGCCTAGTCATTTTGAATAATTTTTTATTATTAGCATGTTTATAACTTTAAAAAAAATTCTAATGTATTCTAATATATATAAGAAGAAAAAATTCTAATATATGTAATATACTGTTTATAAAATAAGTAAAATTTAAAAAATAATAATAAACTTAGGTAATAATTACTGTGGTTCAGCTGTTTAGCTTCTATTATTTAAAAAAAAATGTTATTCCTTTTAGTTTCCACCTTCTAAGACTGTGAATGTGGACAAGACTCTTAGAAATAAGCAAATTATTGGCCTGTTCAAAGATATTTTTAAAGAGGTATTATGTTTTTTTTCCTTCAAGAAGTATATTCTGAACATCAAATCCAAAAATTATATATGAAGTTTTCATGTTCTCCAATGTATAGCTGAAACAAAAAACAGGTCTGATCATTTTCATGATTTAAATCTTTTTGTAATAGTTTTGAAAACTATAATTAGCATGCATTATTGTTAAAATCAGCTGAGATAAAAAATATAATACAGCATTTATTTCTTTTAAATTAAATTTATATTACTTCAAAAATGGGTTTGATTTTTAAAGGAAAAATTAAATTTATGAAAAAGCTATGAAACATACCATATTATTCTCATGAAATGCTTGGTGGTTTTTATTTGCTTTATTTATTCATGATACATTACTATCATTTTTAATCAATTTGTTTTTTACCAAAAATAAAGTGATTTAGGCACTTGTAAGTACTCTAAAGTGCCAAAATGTTTATTCACACATTTAAAAAGAACCTAGTTTACAAAATTCTGAATTTATAAGACTGATTAGAAATTTATTGGATTAATTTAAAATGGTAAAACAACAAACAGCTTTTACTTTAATAAAAATTTCATGCGTAAAATATAATTTCATTATTCAAGCATGAAAAATAAACTCTGCTTTCCTTTCTTTCTCTTTTTCTGCCTGGATACTGGATATGGAAATATATAAAATGTAGGAATATAAACCTTAGTACTAGATAACTTCATGATACATACATAATTTACGAATTTCGTAATACAGTCAAAAGTCGTTAATCCGGACTCGTCGGGACTTCGGCGATTCCGGATTATCGATTTTTCCGGATTATAGATCATCAGTTTAAATCTCGTAAGATGGCATGCAGAAATTCTAAAATTAAAAATATGAAACCGTAATTTATGAAATAAAGAACAATTATGATCTAAAGGGTATCAAAATTTGCAAAAAGAAAAAGCTTAATATTTATTTGTTTACTTTATTAAACATTTCTTTCAATGTAAGTTGTTTAAGTTTTGCTTCGTTTCATGTGATAATACTTTCTCTTTAATTCTATTAAACAGACATAATTTCTTGTTCAGTTACAAAGTTCCGCCGTTCAAGTCCTATAATTGCTGTGTCAAGAACACCGACTAATTTGTCAATCGAAATTTTTTTGTTTTCAATAACCTCTGTCACTTTCTTCGCTATCGGAAGCGAATTATAATGAAGAGGAACTTGTTTTAAATCATATCAAAGACGGAGCATATCGAGATGAAATACTACATTTGGTAAGGAATTATAAGCCAAATAAAATAAAAACATCTGCGCTGAAGATAAGGATAATGCTGACAAATCAACTTCCAATTCATTACGCGCCCGCCGCCGAGCAGCGTGAAATTGATAAACAGATTTCGGATTTCAAAACATACTTTCGCTTTAGATCCTTTACATATTAACAAATATATATCGGAAATTCTATTTGATATAATCGAAAGTTTAAGCTTACTTTTATAAAATTGCTCTTACAGTCTGCAAAAAATAATAAGCCGGATGCAATTCGAAAATTAAGGAACAACGCAATCATCAACATTAACTGAAATAGATAATTAGATAATTTTAGCTTATACGTCCATTATACATAAAATGCGCACGCGAAAACGTATTCTGCACTTGCGCACACTCATATGCGCAGTCGTAAAAGGTCTTACACGCACGCGTGAACGCCTCTGCGCATGTGTCAACGCGGCGCATGCGCAGAAAGTTTTTAGTTTTGATGTCCGGATTATAGATCATTCCGAATTATGGGTGTCCGAATTAACGACTTTTGACTGTATACATTATCTATGGTGTATTTATTAAAACAATATATTTTTAGTTATTGTCTTTTTAATTTACAGTAACAGTTTTTACGAAGCTTCCATTTATGAACTTCTTGTCTTTTTAATTTTCCTTTACCAGTGAGGTAAATTCAGTTCCATATGATCCTGAAAATTAACCTATGGAGCAAATTTTAATTTCCTTTTTGATTTATGAACGTATGTTGCACATTTTGTCTGTCTCTCTTTTCTTAGAAACTCGTTCCCCCCTCTTCTTCTTTTCTCTTTTTTTTTTTCCTAATATAAAAAATTTTATGAAAAAGTGAAATTTGCTAGATTGAGTTGAATAATAAGAATTTTCTAAATTTGTAATACGCAGGATACTTTAAAGTTAATAGTTTAATAAAGCAGTAAAAGGACTAAGTGAGAATAATTCTAATTATGACTGATATTCAAACATAGAAACTTCGTTGAAAGTTTGCAAGTGTTCAGGCTTCTGAAGACCTATTATTTCAAGAATTCCTGAGTATATAAAGTTCTCTATGTATAACCATGCTAAAAAAGAAATATCTGGTGATATCCCACCCCCTCAGAAGAAGAAGAATCTTCACATGCTTGACATATATATATATATTTGGACTTATTCTTCTGTTGGCATGTAAATTGAGTTGGTAAACAGACATTTGTGAGATTTTTGAAAGCTAATAATTTAATATAATTAAAATTACATATTTAAATTTTTAATGGAATTATAATTTAAATATTCTAGTGATCCATAGGTGTTCATAAAGTGATGAATTCACTGTATGAATAACTGTTTAAATTTATGGTTATGCTGGTAGTCATAGGATTTTAATATACCACTATATTATAATAAAAAGAGACAAATTAATGTGGTTCCACCAATGCCTGAGTAATTAAAGCTGGTGTACAAATTGTTTGATTGGTTTAGACAGACCGAATAAGCAGGCTGGCAGCACAGTTGATTTTTATGGTCCTTCCTGTGTGAAACATGAACAGAACCAGTTTCCCTGAGAAAGTCCTCTACAAAGACATCCCTGCTCGTAGGCAGGTAGCCCTCATGGGTTTGAAATATTCAAATAACTTAACAAGCTAATGAGATTATTGTTAATATAAAGAGATAATTATTAAAATCTTTTTTAATATGATGCAAATTGTCAATGTATTTGCCCTTCGTAGCATGGAGAATATTTGTCTTCTTATCTATTTCAGCTTATTCCTATTCCTCAACTTGAGGTTTTCTTGATAACTGTTGATGTCTTAACATATCTTGTCTAGCTGCTCTGGGCTCTGGATTTTTGCCAGATGAGATTATTTCTTCGCCTGGAGTTACAAAGGCCAGCAGTTACACTGATGTCCTACAATTTAGTAAAAGTGAGAAAGTATTACCATACTTCTCATTCAGGGTGAAGCAGGCAAGGACCATGACAGTTGCAGAACAAACTGTATTGCAGGATCATAAATAAAAAGCATATCAAAAAGTTATCCAGAATGAGTTCTGCAGAAAAATTCATTTTCTCTTTTCATTGGTATTAAAGTGTTGTTCTTTCTTTTATAAGCTTTTATTTGATTCACTTATGTTTCATTAAGGTCAGAATTTTGTTTGTGATTTTTAACTTATTTCCTGGTAAGCTTCTTTTAGTCATAATTTACTTTTATTCTAAATTTTTTTTTTTTTTTAAATAGTTTTGCACAGGTTTCCAAATGCTTCTTGCAATAAATGGTGCAGAGTTCATGGATGAGTACTCATGGCTATTGATTCGGCAACTGGCCGAGGAGGAAAACGTATTAATTCTTCTCAGCCTCTGTTACAATTTCAAGGAACCTTCAATTCTGGCAGGTGTTCTGTATCTAAAAGCATATACACATATAAATTTGGAATTATCTGGCAGAGAATATTTTCCTGCTCTTATTTGTTGGTATCTTGGAGTTAAAGCTGTTCATAAAGAGATAGTGGGGTAAGTGATTTTTTAATACATTCATAATTTTCTGTAACTGTTTTGGGTGAGAGGAGAAAAATTCAGTCTAGATACTTCAGTCTTGAACCTGAAAAAAAGACTTTACTTTTAAAATATTCATAATTAAAAAGCTTTTAAATTCTTTTTATATGTAAAGCATTAAAATAAAAAAACAAACAGTAGACATAACATAGGGTGTAAAGTATAGCATTGTTCATCTACATTCAACCAGTGTAATATTAATTTCCTTTTTAGTTTTGCTTGAGTGGCAACAACTGTAAAACATTATTATTTTGGTAGAATAAACTTGTTTGGTTATGTTTAAATTTTTGAGAGATTATTTAGGTAGAAATAAGTTGATGAATGGAGAAAATGGTGTACATTTACCGTCATAGCTAACATTTGGTGACCTGGACGTGATTAAATATAAGAGGTGAGTACTTTATATAAGAAATGATTAATTGAATTTTAGTTTTGGTTTGCAGTGGAGCATCTTATTAAGAAGGGATTTGATCTCCATTACGGACATCGTTTACTAAGACATATAAAAATTTAATGTCTCTGTTTGATGATGAAAATATAGAAATAAGTGATGTTAAGCTTAAATTATCTACTTTAGAACACATTAGTGCTAGTTTAATGACTCTTGATAACGAAATTTTATAACTTGCCGTAAGTGCAAATGATAATGGTAAAAGTTATTCTGATGAATTTGAATCTGTAGAAGAATGAATATAAAGTCAAATTTGATAAAGCTATAGTTTGCGTCAATTCTTTTATAGAAAGTAAATCACAACCAAACAGAAATATATTAAGTAATGAGAAATCAAAAATAGGCTAAATCGCAGAATAGGCTGCATCAGTCGATGCTGTGTTTACTTCTCTTATGCTTGGACACGCCTTTTTATGAGGTAATATTGGTTACGTGTCTTCTTAAAAAACAAATTATAAGTATGCTATAGTTTCGTATTTAATGAAAACTTAAATTATATTTTAACTGAGTTGAAATGTTAGGTTTATAATGTTCTGCGCAAGATTTTTTAAATTATAAATCTACTTTTGTGTGTTGGGTGATAGTGTTAGCATTTAACGCAGCAAATTATCTCTTACAAATGTATTATTAAGATACCAATCGATTGGAAACGATCATTGCCAAACGATTGAAATAATTGAATGCATGAGATAAAAATTATAACCGTAACTTCTGAAAATACAGAAAAGAATTCTTAAAGAATGTTTTGATTATTGATGAGTGTGTCTAATTTGGTGCTTACTGCAGATTGGATGAGTATCTGAATCTGAATTTTTTTTTATCAGTTGGAGCAAAGAGGTAAAAAGAGCGTTATTAAGTGGTGTATGGAGAAATGTTTCATTGCAATATCGTATAAGCTGTCCAATTTGTGAAACAGATATGAAACTAGTAGAGCGAAAGAACTGTATAGACGGTTTTGAGTGGATGTGTAGAGTTACTGGAGGCGGCGAATGTAAGCATCGAATTTCAAAGTCTGTTCGAATGAACTCATAGTTTGCGAAGAGTAAATTGAATCACTCAAACTCAAATCAATGAAGTTGGTTACACGCGAGTTTCTGCAATTCTCTGATCTTTTTAAGTGAAAGCAGATTTCTGAGTATATGAGCAATGCAGAGTTTATTCAATGTCTGATTTTTTTAAAGTGAAAATAGATCGCTGAGTACATGGGCAAAGCCAATGTGGCCCGCAATGCCGAGTTTGTGCAAGTCTGTGGTGTTTTTTTAAGTGAAAATAGATTGATGTTGACATGGGCAAAACCAATGTGGTACGCAATGCCGAGGTTGTGCGCGATGCCGTGTTTGTGCAAATCTGTGGTGTTTAAGTGAAAATACATCAATGTGCACATGGGCAAACCCATGTGGTGCGCAATGCCGAGTTTGTGCAAATCTGTGGTGTTTAAGTGAAAATACATCAATGTGCACATGGGCAAACCCATGTGGTGCGCAATGCCGAGGTTGTGCGCGATGCCGAGTTTATGCAATTCTGTGAAGTGAAAATAGATCGATGTGTACATGGGCAAAACCAATGTGGTGCACAATGCCGAGGTTGTGCACGATGCCGAGTTTTTGCAATTCTGTGGTGTTTTTTTAAGTGAAAATAGATCGATGTGTACATGGGCAAAACCAATGTGGTGCGCAATGCCGAGTTTGCGCAATTCTGTAGTGTTTATTTAAGTGAAAATAGATAGAAACCAATGTGGTGCGCAATGCCGAGGTGCGCGATGCCGAATTTGTGCAATTCTGTGGTGTTTTTTTAAGCGAAAATAGATCGATGTGTACATGGGCAAAACCAATGTGGTGCACAATGCCGAGGTTGTGCGCGATGCCGAGTTTGTGCAATTCTGTGATTTTTTTTAAGTGAAAATAGATCGATATGTACATTGGCAGATCCAATGTGGTGCGCAAAATGCCAATTCTCTGCAATTTCTGACATTCTTTAAGTGAAAATAGATGGATGAGCACTTGGACACCGAATTTGTGAAATTCTTTGATGTTTTTCGAGCGAATACTGATCGTTGTGAAACGAGGGAAAACGAGGTTGTGTGTGATGCTGAGCAGTAATGTAACTTTATTTATGTGCAATGTTTAACATATCGTTTGTGTATTTTAAATTTGTATTATTTTGTTAACTGTAAATCATATTTGAGACACCTTTTTTGTTACTTAAATTGTATTTTAAAGTGTTTGGTTTTGATATGTTGATAATGCTTTCCGACTTATGATAAATATCGATAGTCCGACAATCTACTCAACAGTAGCAAAACTGTAAACTTTGACCCTTTAAGTAACGTTTACCTGATATTTTAATCCGCAGTGTTTGGTATTGTAATTGCACTTTGATAATATGAATTCATTGATAATATGTGCATATGTGAAGCATTGCTTAGTGTTTCAAGTTTGCAGTATTTAATTTCTTATATTATTTTCTTTCATTCTGAGAAATGAGATTTTTTTTTATTTATTAATGCGTAGAATTCTAGTATGCCTACAGAGAATATGGCGTGATTTAGGAATTTTAGAAACTGATATGAAAGCTGTGTAATGATGTTCATATACAATAAAAAAAATATTCTTCTTTTTATGTAAAGTTTAAAATTTTTAGAAACTAATGAAAATTGTCTAATTATTGGTATGTAAGGTATTATGTCATTACGTAGCAAGAAGGTAATTTGTAAAAATGATAAAATTGAAATGTTCCACAATATGAATTTAAATTTAAAAAAGTCTTTTTTTTTTTAATTTGTATAAATGCTTTAATAAAAATCTTTGAAAATATTGAAGCTGTACAAGTATTAGAGACTACGATGTTGTTTATCATTTTAATAATTGGTAGAATTCGCTCAATGTGTCATAGTAGTTTTAAATATAAACAATTTATTATACTTATTATCAGTAATGCCTAAGCTGAAATGTTATAAATGTAACTTTAAAGTAAATAATTTAATATTAATTTACAATAATAAACAATTTATTATTGTATTTTTAAGAGAAAATAGAAAGTATGCGTAGTGTAAATGCGAGTATACATTGTGACGTCACAAGCTTAGTCCCACCCATTTATGGACATCACACAGCTCCGCCTTCTGAACTTTGTTGAGCAGCCTATTCTGCGCTTTTACCCAAAAATAAAACTTTTCAAACTTGAACTAATGAAATTTAGCAGTGAAGTTAAAGAATGGTTGTGTTTCTGGAGTCAGTTTAAACGAATTCATGATCATAAAGAATTGGAAGACAAATTCCAATATTTAATACAATGTATGTTGCTAGGTACAAGAGCGAAAGAGATCAATTATAGCTATCCACCTACAACAGAAAATTATACAAAAGCGATTGAAAGCCTCAAAGCAAGATTTGGCCATGAGGAATTGTTAGTGGATTACTATGTTCGTGAACTATTAACTTTAGTTGTTAAAAATGCTACCAAATCAAGGCTTAGTATCACTCAATCGGCCAGTGATCTATCACTGTTCTTAACTTGTAGGAATCATTTCTTAAAATCTGGAAATTGAAACACTTCACCTTTGAAAACCAAAGTCTCTCCTTGCAAGGATAGCAAGCTGAAAAAGAAATGAAGACTCTTCTGTCTTCTTCTTTCTTCTTTTTTTTTTTTTTTTTTTTTTTTTTTTGTGTGTGTGTGTGTGTGTGTGTGTGTGTCGTTCCTCATATTTCGATCAAGCAAAGGAATGAAGCCACAATAAGATGAAGCTTCGCTGAAACTTCTCCTCCTCTTTTCTCCAAAATTTTTTCTTTTGAACTTAAAACCTAATTATAATTAACCTCTGTTATCTTGCAGTCATGCCTCACTTGAACATAATTGATCAATCCGTCTGTCTCATCCTTTTCTGAACCAATTATATCCATGAAATAATTAGATTCAGGCAGTGCTATTTTTATTTATTTATTTTTTTAAATGCTCCTTAAGAAAGAGGATTTCCTCTTTCATTTGTTATGAGAAATTTCCCAAGATAAACACACCCTGACAAAATGTCTTCCATGAAACCATACGTTAACCTACTTCTCATTGCATCTGGATCAAGGAAAAATAAATGACATCAGTTCCCACCCAAGACTTTTTTTTTCTCTTTTTACAAAGTCCCCACTTGGTAACCTCTCACAATGAAAATCAGTTTTAACTTTCTCCTTCCAGGCTTTCAAGAAAGACTTTCAAATGTCTCTCTGTTTATTGGTCCTTAAGTCTTGCTTCTCGTTAAGGAATGGAAAAAGCATTCTTTCTTTTTCTATAATAGACTCAATGAAAAGAATGAAACTGATTGCATTATCCTAATTGCAATCAGTTTTACTCATGCCTATCGCTGTTTTCCTGTCACTAGTTTCTGATAATTAAGAATATCCTTGAAATGAAATTCTCTACATAACATTTGGCACTTCTAATATTAAGGGTACAATTAATTTTCTCTTAACATTTACACTACCTGACATTGAAAATGCAACATTAAGAAGTAGTGGCC